TTAACTCGGAATAACTACAATCTTTGCAATCTAAACGATTTAATTTTCTAATAAGACAATAGTCAATCTGTGTTGTACTATATCCATTTTTATAAGTGATGAGATGCTCATTCCTTTTCTTAAATAAGGTATTAACAATTGAAAAATCATAAGCTAAACAAAAGTCCAATATGGTCTTGCCACCTTCATTCATCGTTCCAAATCCATGGCCACCATGAATGCGTTTAAAATCATCTACTTTCTACCAACATGTCCATTTAAATCTCCAATAAAAACTCTTTCTTCAAGAGGTATCTTTTGTATTAATTCTTCTAAGTCACTCCAAAAATTTAATTTAGAACTCATATCCAAACCTACTTGAAGAGCATAAGCAATTATAATATTAACAATCTTATCATCAACAACAATCTTTAAAGCTATAATTTTATCTCTAATCCTATTAATTTTATAACATTATCCTTTAAACTCTTATCTATAATAACACCTACACCATTTCTATTACGACTCCTACCCGAATACCAAAGTTTAAATCCTAAACTATCAATTTCCCTGGCCTTCTCTCCAACCCATTTAGTTTCCTAAATGCACAAAAAAACTTAGGGTTTTTCCCTAATTAAGAAAATTTTTATCCCTATGATTTTAATTGGTTTTTGGAAGGATTTTAAAAACTAATTTATGGTTTTTACTTGGAATATAAGATTTTCTAATTTTTTATTTAATTTATTCCGAAAATTAAATATATTTTATTTATGTTGTGAGTGTAGGAAAAGGTGTTGCATGCTTAAAACCTAAGGATTTGGACTAAACCTAATTGAGAGAGAATGTGAGTGAGAGATATCATGAAATGGTGAGGAACGGTTGAATTGAAACATAAACATGACATTAGGAAGAACCCTTTATTACCTTAGATTAAGGATTTAGAATATTGTGTAGGGACTAGTTACTTATACATTTTTTTTTGTATGTCTCTTCTAGATTTTAACTGTGTGGAAGGAAAGGACTTGTACGGACAAAGGAAAGAGGTGCACGGGTTGAGGTAGGTGGAATGGATATTTTTCTAAATTTAGAAAACTCTACTTTCATGCAATTACATAGAAATGACAATTTCTTTTATGCTCATTATGACACTCTTATGACTCATGTTCTCTTGTAAGTTCATGGACACTTAAAGCAAATGCAAAGGTTTCACTTTATGCAAATGTACAACTCATGAATGATTCACATGCTCTTTTATTTACTTATACTACACATGTTTTTCTCCTTACATGCAAATGAACACATGAGCATAGCAAGCATACACACCCCTATGGAATCATACACTTGATTAGTTTATGAATAGTTTACATAAAGCATCTCTTATGAATATGAAAGTATTAAGTATATGTGCATGTTCACGCGGAAGTATCACATGGTAAAGGATGTTCCTTTGAGCAATGGTAAAGGAGGCTCTTATGAGCCATGGTAAAGAATGGTTCTTATGAACCAATGGTAAAGGAATTGCCAATTTTATGTACCTGATCAATACAAGTGATACTTCCGAGACGAGTGTTATATTTACATATTAAGCTATTATAAACATTTCATATTCATGTTATATGCATTTGAGACTATCATTTAAGGCATAATGTTTTAAAAGGAAAAGAATGAAAATGTTATGAAAGGAAAAAAGCACTTGAAGGTTGAGGTAAAGGTATGCATCTCCTTAAAACAAAAGTTGCTATATGTTGATGATTCCTTTGTTAAAATACCTAAGCATGATATAGTCTTCTTCTTTTGACTCTAAATTTAATTGAATTCCATTTGCACCTATTGAGTTGTGACTCACCCATGTTGTGGGATACTGTTCAGGAGGATCTAGTAAAGGATATATGGCGGATAGACCTCCCCTTACATACCGTCGTAGGGAGACGACGGGCGGCAGGTCTTGTTTTATTATTTTGATGTTTTGTATAGAAGGTTTAGAGATGATATGTAAGAAAATGATTTTTGTACACCCTTTTGATTTTTGTAAACTTAATGTTGAATTCTTACATTGGTGTTTGAATAAAAGAAATGAAAAGTTTTTTTTTTTAAACTCGTTAGTGGCTCTTCCATTATGTTTGGTACATGTTTGGAGATATTTTAATTGAGTAATATGAAAGTTTTCATTAATTCCGACTGCCCGACTTTCGTTCCCACCTCGAACTTACGAGCTAACCGAGCCAGGTCGTGACAGTACCGAGAATATACATTAGCTTTTTAAACAATGAAGAGAAGAAATGGCGAAATCCACTTACACGTCTTGGATCTCTTACGCGCAGAAGGTGCTCTATTTGGCATTGATTGTGAACTTTGCTTTGGCTGACCGCAAAAATCATGCAGGAATGAAGGAATGGGAAAGACGAGCTTAGCTTGGCCTCGGCTCGAGCAGAAATGACAAAGGAACGGGATTCGAAGGCAACGGGCTCCGTTTGGCATCGGCTGCGAGCTCGCCCAGTCCGCCCTAGAAGATTTCTTTCGTGGATCAGAAAAATGGGCTTCTCGTTCGCGGAAAAGGCTAAATAGAACGAATCGGACGATTTTATAATTTAATAACCGGACACGCGTGTCCGGTTTTAATTTTAATTTTTTAAATTGCGAAACTCCAATGTCGTGTTAGACACGTGTCCATGCAGTGTCGGATGCGTGTCTATGTCCGACACTGCATACCCTCTTTAAGCGGAATGTCGGTGCATCATTAGCTTAAAAGACTTTAAAAAAAGGGACTTGAAATTCAAATAAAATATTAAAGTATTAAGAACTTAAACATAAATCATCCCCAAAAAAATTGAATAAATTTAAGATTAAAATTGAAATAAACAAATAAATAATTAAGAGATACCCTCATGACCTAGTACAGACTATATATTAGATAGAACACCAACCTTAGAGTTTATAAAATAACTTGTTTTTCTTTCCCAAGCATTATGTTTTTGATATTTTTATTTTTATATTATTATATATTTCATTGTATTAGAATGTCCTAAATAATTAAACGCAAAACTCAAGCCAAAATAAAAATTAAAAGTCCTCCTAATTATAAGATTTTGATTTTGATTAAAATTCTAATTTGAAATCAAATTGGGTAAAGAACCGACCAAAATTCAAACCTTGACAGAAATTAGAAAACTAATTCATAAACATTAACACCTTGAGTTACATACAAAAACCAAAATAGGTTTGATACATAAAACATATACTTGATTTTAGAAAAACCTGATTTTCTTTTGACGTTAGATTTTTCTATGATTAGAACTTTTGCTACGAGATGAAAGAATTAACTAAAAAAATATAAATAACATGTACAAATCAAAACAAACAAAATAGAAAGCCCCTTAAGCATAAAACTAAATAATAAGATAAATTATTAAATTAGCTATAAACATTGCACATCATCATTTATGTTTGGGCTACTTAGCTTCACTAGCAAACTTGTAAGTCCTAATTCCTAAAAATAACAATAGCCTAACCTATATTGCATCGCATAGAGAGTTTGACTTCATAGTTTTGAAACAATTATGTGAATTTACCGACAGTTCTCTCCAAGCAAAATTATAAGTCCAGTAGAGTTGAACTTTCTTTAATCCTCGGCGGGGTGAAATTTGTTTATCTACTTGCTTTTCTTTAGACTTAGAATTGACTTACTACTTTATGTTGTCAATTTTAATTTTAAAATATGAAGCTAATTTGCTACATCATAAACCCTCACCTCTTGAATTTTTTTTCTCAACCTTGTATTGATAAAAAGATAAGCCCTAATTTTTTGATGAAATGAATAAAAATTTTAAACTTTAAAACTTAAATTAAGATAGTTTGGATTACTTCGGAGCTTCTCAAAATACAGTACTCATCATTCTTCCTCTTGCTCTTGGAAAGAACCACTCGATTTTGAACTAATCTCATTTGAAATTTTAAAAATGTATCCTTGTCTAAGCTTTTAAATCATAAAAACATTTATGACTATTTTAATCTAGAACGTTCTTAAGTGATTGCCTCTCTTGGAATATCATTAAGAAATACGTATACCCAAAATAATAAATCTTATATTGCATGAGACAGGAGAAAGTCTATGGGAATATTGATATTTTTTTTAATTTTATTTTTATTTTGGAATTCATTGTAGAATATCATTTTTGTGTTTTAAGATGATATATTATTCTCTATGTTATGTATGATTAAAATATAGAATTTTCAAATATGTAGTTTATTCTTCCAATTTTCTATTAATTTTCATTGTTGCATTGCTTACCCTATGTCAAGTATAATCCTTACAAAGAAAATCTCTACCGTAATTAGCGTCAGCCCTTATGCTATCCCACTTATGCCACCATAATTATAAATATCAATATTTAGAGTTTCTGCAAAAATGCCTACGCATACATTAAGAGAAAAAATGTTGATTATCTAAATAAAAAATAAATAATTAAATCCAGTAAAAATAAAACATAAAAGGTATAATATTTCGCATAACAAACTTGTGCAACCAACCGCAAAGCCTAAATGACTTGGAAATGGACCTATTGCTATCTATCACTAAATAAAAGCTCATTAATATCCTCGAATACCTAACCAAAGAAATAGCACTTCACGAGAAAATCATGCTTCATGCCACGGTGAATTAGCAAGCTTACTTCTGCTTAGGTTGTTGACTTAATTCTTATCCCATTCATTTGGGATAGAGATGTAACACAATGAAGCCAGTCTAAGCTACCAGTCACTTTACATTAGTGATAAGCAATTATTAATAACCAGTTCAACAAGCCTAGGCAAGATCTTTCATCATCATCATCTCATCCATAGCATTGAGAAAACTTTTTTTCCTTCTTGCTTTCATTAAACTGACATTTTCCTCATAGCAGCTGGCAATATCCTCAAATGTTTAAAACTTCTTCTTTTAACCACAACCAAATAAAAAATAATAACAATAAGACAGCAGATGTTCAACCAAACTTATCAGGAACAAACAAATCTTCTAGAAACAAATCTTCTAGACTCGGCCTAACTCACCCATGCTCAAATGGGGTTCAGAAAAAGTCCACTAAAACATAGAAATGAAGCAAAATATAAATTAGTAGGAACATAATAATCATTCATACTTGATCCACAAACCTTGCCAGTGAAACCAATATTTATTGGCAAATCATCAGTTGACTGTAGCATCATTTGCATGTGGAATGGCGCAGGTGTACAGGTGGTTGCACGAGTACCATAAGCAGGCCCTGTCCCACCTCCCACCAATGTCGTGATACCTGCATTATTATAATTAGATTATCCATCAAGTTCAGATTTAGATCCAGAAGCTATAACGAGCAATTCATACCATAAAAATCAAAATTACAATTTTAATTCTGCATTAATCCAAATATTCCATAATAAACCAAAAGAACCTCACTTATGAAAGCTTTAAAGCAGATAGTTTGCGTAACTCAGCATTTTTATAACAAAAAACATAGGGGGCAAGCATCCGTACAACAAAATTCCTTGTGTATTTAGATATCTAACTATCTATTCTTTCTCTCACTAAAATCTGATAAAGAGATGATACTCTCTCAAAATCACTTCCCTACAACAAAAACCCTAACATCCCTTCACTTTCTCATTCTTGATCTAGAGAGAGAAAAATGTTTCTCGCTCTAAACAAACAGAGAGCTCATTTTCTCTCTCTAGACCTTTCATCCTCCCTCTCCCACACTCTTACCCTCTTTCTTTCTTTACTCTACTCTTTTTGTCCCTACAAAGAGAGGAAGACCCCTCTCTCTCTCTTTCCCCCACTCTATCTCTCTACAAATAAAGAAAGCCCAAAGAAAGAAAGAAAAAAAGCAAAAAAGGAGAAAACTCGTGCGCCACCTCGCATCATCGACTTGTCTTCATCACCTCCGCCACCATGCACTTTGAGATATAGCTCCACCCACCCTGAATTACTTCTATCGAGATCGAGTGAGTAAAAAATAATCTATTTAGACTATCCCACCACAATACATTTTTTCATTCTTAGGAATCTATTTAAATATTTCATAATTAGAAGCATATATTCAAAACATATTAAATAAATACAAAGCCTTACTAAACTTTCAAATAAAGTTACATACCCAAAAGTCTTACTATACAACTTCGAACTCTAGCTTCTATACACAACCAAAATGTATGTACAGAAAAATGCAGTCAACTTTCTGCCTAGAGCCCCATGAGCACATTTCCTTTTCCTGCAGTACAACTACTACTAATGAACTAAAGCTCAATGAAATACACAACCATAATATAAGAAATAAAAAACATACAATTTATAGTGAATTGTAAATAATATATAAAATTTTATAAGAATCATAAGCTATATAAGAAATCAATGCATAACGATGCTAATCATTGTATGTATTCTTTAACTTTTCACATTTTTGTCATGTCTACTTTCCAAAACTAAGTCATATGATGAATAGTCTTTCGCACACTTACAGCTCTCTCATTCAAGGTTAAATCCGACTTTTCAACTTTTAGAATCGAGAGAATCATATACCTTATGTACAGTCTAAAAGGCTTACCTTGTCAAGTCTTTCGCATTTACTTGTGCCGGTCTATCCCTCATATATGACTTATCTCATTAGCCTTTTCATTTTCCATTTCAATAAGCTTCACTTTTTTTTTCAAAATATACACATGAATATCCCATAACTTAGCTAATGAACCAGTAAATAAATACATAATGAAACTAAAAATAATGTTATCATAATTATATAAAAAAAACTATAACAATTATATAAAAATGTTACTATTTCCTATACCATAGCTTGGGTATCTCACATTGTTTCCTAGGTTAGTCAAGTAAATTTGTTCACCTAAAATATCCAGGACTCTTTCCTCTTATATACAATCTAAAGAATATATGTTTTTCATTTATAAAACATTCTAGCTTAACTTAATGTTAATGAAATCAAGTTAGCAATTCAATCAGAAAGGAAGGTAAAATTTACCTCAAATAAGTTTCTCCACATTCAACACTTCCCTTACCTCTATTTCCTCTTCCTCCCATCCCTTATATTTCTTATATGATCTCCAACCTTACCCAATTTTCTAAAATCAACCACAGCAGCCCGTAGCTCCCTCTGCTCGCAGACTGCTATTCGAACTCCAACGAATAAAGAACAAGTGATTGGTGGGTGAGGAAATAGAATGGGAAGCAAATGCCTTCATTATTACTAATGCAACTCCATTATCTCCACTAATAAAATATAATATTACACCTCTAACACGCCCCAGCCACATGATCTCACTCACAACCATCTGGCCCTTGTATGCTTATGTAAGTGAAATCCATAATTTTGCATTTAAATAAATAGTTATATGCTACAAAAAATTTTAATTGATTAACTTTTAAATAAAAAATTATGCTACAGTAATCAATTAATTAATTTTTAATACTTTAAAATAAATTTAATTAAATAATACAGTAAATCCATTTAATGAATCATACCTGTAGATATCCTTTTTGGTTATTGCTTCAGAAATCAAAATGCTCATAATTAAAAATAAAATTTGAAATAAATATATTCGACATTTTTGTATCTGTGAGAAATTATGGTAAAATTTTGGGGCAAATTACGCTTACTTTTCGACAAAATTTTAGGCATTATAATTCTCCCCTCATTGAAACTTTGTCTTAGATATTCATTGTCTTAGTGGTCATCAAACAAATGAGGAAACTTTAGTCTAATTTCTTCTTCCTTCTCCCAGGTTACCTCTTTTTCTGGTCTACATTTTTATTTTACTTTAGCATAAGGGATTTAACGGTTTATAAGCTATCTATGTTGCACCGATACACCTATTTATGAAGGCGTGTTATATCTGATACAACGATACATGGATACGCCTCCGATATGGCACTGATACAGTCAAATACAGCTTTACCGTATCCAATTAAAATACTATTTAATTTCAAAAGGACATGCATATCCGATACGCGTGTCCGTTGAAAAACAAAAAAAAATAAAAAAAAGACCCGTCGTATTTACTTCCGCAGTTGCGAGTGAGGTTCTCTCATTTCTGAGATGGATTTGAGTCTCTTGATGATATGAGAATATTAGAAATTGCTAATCTTTCACTTGATGAGCCTAAATTAGAAGCTATGATATTTATTGAAGATGATATAAAAATTCAAAGACAAACCACTGTAGAACCTAATCATATCATTCCTTCTATTGAATAGTTGAAACGTCATTTGCTATATAATTAATGTTTATGCTTTTATTGTTGTACTAGACATTAAACGCTTACTTTTATTTTGATATTATAAACTACAAGACTACAAATGATGTTACTTTGATTTTTTTTATAATTTCAAATATTATGCTTTGATTGTTTTCTTAATTTTTATGTATGATTTATACATTATAATGTCGTATCCGCGCCATACCTGTATCGTGTATTTTTAAGAATTGACGTGTCTCGTATCTGTATCATGTCGTATCCGTGTCATCGTATCCGTATCGGTGCAACATAGTGAGCTATTTAATATCAAAATCTAATATTCTTTATGGTTCCTCAGTGAAAGTAAGATTCTTCTGTAGGTCAAATTTATCAAGTGAAATTTTCTGATGTGCATCTGTAACCATTTCCCTAATAGTGACACATGAAAAATATTATGAATATCTGAAATGTTAACTGAAAGAGAGAGATTGCAAGAAAACTTACCAATCTTCTCAATAACTTCAAAAAGTCTTATATACCTAGGACTCAATTTGCCTCATTGCCCAAATCTGGTTGTACCTTTTATAGATTTAACCTTAAAAAATACAAAGTCACCAACTTCAAAGTTTGCCATTCTGTGCTTAAGGTCATAATATTTTGTTGATGATCATATGCAGCTTTTAATCTATCTCTAATTAATCTGGTTTTTCTCTATTGCTTCATCAACTAGCTCTGGGGCCATAAACTATCTTTCTCCTACTTCAATCCAATTTAAAGGAGCTCTGCACTTTCTACTATAAAGTGCTTCAGATTGTGTCATTTTTATATTTGATTGATAGATATTGCTGTAAGTAAATTTTATCAATGGTATGTAGTCCTCCCAACTACACCCAAGATCTAAAATACATAATCTTAACAAGTGTTCCAATAGTTGAATTGTTTTTTAAGATTGACAATCAGTCTAAAGGATGGAAAGAAGTACTAAAGGATAGGTTTGTCCTCAGCTTTCTTGAATACTTTTCCAAAACCAAGAAGTGAATCGACCATCTTTATCCGAAATAATAACTTTCGGAATACCGTGCAATCTATCAATTTTTTTCACATACAGGCATGTCAATTTATCTACTGAATTAGTTTGCTTGATAGGTAAAAAGAGAGCTAATCAGTCTGACAATAATCACCCAAATAACGTCAAGACCTTGTCTAAATTTAGGAAATTCCAAAACAAAATTCATTGCAATATCTTCCCACTTCCATGCAATGATAGATAGTGATTGCAATAGTCTACTAAGTCGTTGATGTTCAGCTTTCACAATTTGATATGCTTCACACCAAGACACATTCAACAACATGTTTCTTTATACCTGGCGACCAGAAAATTAATTTCAAATCTTTAAACATTTTAGTACTACCTAAGTGAATTGTGTAGCCAAAGTGATGAGTTTCCTGCAAAATTTATTTTCTTAAATCTGGTTCACCGGGTACTTACAGCCAATATTTATGCTTAATGATTTAATCAGCAACAGCAACAACATGCCTTTGTCCCACTATGTGGGGTCGACTACATGAATCCTTTTTCTCCATTGTCCTGTTAAAAGTCAATTTCTCGTTTAAATCTAGTAAAGAAAGATCAATTCTAATATTTTATAACCAGTGTTAATGATTTAATCAGCATAAAAAAAATCTAATATTTTCCCTAACTAAGGCTGCTTCATTAATTTTGGACATTTTATTAATCATTTGAGCTTCTTTAATTCTTTAATTTGATCTATTGAAGTTGATTTTATTGTCATATGATGTAAGTATTTCATATTTTTATAGTCTCTAATCTCCAATTGCAAATGCTCAATCTCCTTGATCAACTGAACATACTGAGTAATCATTAAAATATAATTCCAGTGGATTTCCAACTCAAAGCGTCGGCCACGATGTTAACTTTTCTAGGATAATATTGAATATCCACATCATAATCCTTGATTAGCTCCAACCACCTTCACTGTCTCAAATTTAATGCTTCTTGTGAAAATATATATTTTAAGCTCTGATGATCAGTAAAAATTTTACATTTTACTTCATAAAAGTAATGCCTCCAAATTTTCTAAACAAATGGAATTGTTGTCAGCTCTAAATCATGAGTAGGATAATTTCTTTCACGTGGTTTTATCTATCATGATGCATATGCAATTACCTTTTTGTCTTGCATTAAAACACATCCTAAACCTTTCAAAAAGGCATTGATGTAAATCTAAAATTTTCAACAATAGTGCTAGAGTCAAATGCATCTTTCAATACTTGAAAGCTCTTCTCATATTTTGTAGTCCATTCAAATTTAACATCCATTCTCATCATTTTAAACAAGGGCATATCAATTAGTGAGAACCTTTTAACAAACCTCCTGTAATATCCAGCTAATCCCAAAAAGCTACTAATCTTTAATATTCTTTGGCGTGTGACATTCCAAGATTGCTTCCATCTTCTATGGGTCTACTGAAATTTCTTCACCATTGATAATGTCCCAAAAAGGTAATACTTCTAAGCCTAAATTCACATTTTTTCTATTCCTGATGAAATTACCAACACTAGTGCTAGAGTCAGAAGCATCTTCAACATTTGAAAGCTCTTCGCATATTTTGTAGTCCATTCAAATTTAACATTGATGGGAACATCCGATGGTCGAGATCAACGGCCGAGATCACTCCGTTGTATTTTGATTTAATTTTGCAATTTTTTATTTTTTACCCTTTTTATTTAAGAGTATTTTCTTATGTAAGCCCAATGGGCAAATTTGTCTTTTAGTTTCTTTTGAAGCCTATATATAAAGATCCCTTCTCTTGTATTAAGATAATGGAATTATGATAAAATTTGTGTTCTGCACTTGTGTTCTCTTGGGAGGACGTTAGTGAGATTCCTATGGGAAGGAATTGGAGTTTTCACTAGCCACAGAATGGGTTCGGGCACGTGGCTTGAAGTCCCTTGGAGAAAGACAATGTATCACCCGTCAGGCTTCGAAAGAGTCCAAGGCTCGCGATTTTCTCTTTTTTTTATTATTCTCCTTATTTTTCTAAGCACCACTTCCCCATCTCTCTTTCTCGTGTTGGCCGAAAACTCCACCCAAACCCTTGGCCAAAAGACACTCAACCGCTGGCCCAATCCCCTTCCCAAAGCCGTCAGCCATCATCCATCCCTTGGCTCCAAGATTCAAAATCTAGCATTCAAATCCTTTCCTAAAGTGGCTCCCTTTAATTTTGGGAACTATTTAAATTCATATTGAATTGAATTTGAATTTAAATTTTACTTCCTAAATGAGGAAAACAATTTTAGGGAAGTCCCTCAAATTATGCAATTTTGAATTTTAAATAGGAATTAATTTAAATCCACTTTCCTATTTTAAGATTATAAATATAGCAACCTTTAACTCCTCATATCAATCACCCATAACCATGCTAGCCGTCAGCCCTACCCCCCTTCTTATTTCCTCTTTCCCTCCACTTTTCAAATTGATTATTGAAGGCATTCCTTATTCAATACATCTTAAGTTTGGAAAGTTTTTAAATTCAAATATAAATTTATTTAAATTTGAAATTCTTTCTTAAAATAGTATGAATTATAGTAGGAGGCTTTTCTTATTTCTCCAAATTTGATTTTAATTAAAGAGCTGTCATAATTCCCCGATCTGTATCTTAATAATTCAAGTTTAGAAATTCCTTAAGTCCACATTCATCGTGCGTGACCACATTCACCATATGTGGACACATTCAATGTATGTGGACGACTTCCCTTTTTCCCCTCTTTTGGCCGACCCCCTCCATTCTATATCAGTTTGGTATCAGAGCTTGGTTGCCCAGAATGCGAACACGACGAAGTCGAGCTCTTTTCCATCCCGGGAGAAAGATGCGAACATCCGACGGTGGATGATATTCAAAGGAAGAGTCAAAGATCAACAGTCGAGATCACTCCATTTTATTTTAGTTCATTAATTGTATTTTGATTTAATTTTGCAATTTTTCTTTTTTTACCCTTTTTATTTAAGAGTCTTGTCTTATGTAAACCCAAGAGGCAAATTTGTTTTTTAGTTTCTTTTGAGACCTATTTCGGTTATTCAAATCATCAAGGATCAGCCTTAAGCCCATATCTTTTTGCTTTAGTCATAGATGTTCTCACTAGACATTTGCAAGAGGATGTACCTTGGTGTATGCTTTTTGCTGATGATACTCTTCTTGTTGATAAAACTAGAGAGGGAGTTGAAGGTAAACTTGAATTATAGAGGTCAACCTTAGAGTCTAAAGGTTTTCGCTTGAGTCGATCTAAAACAGAATATATGGAGTGTAATTTTAGTAGTAATAGACCTAGTGAGGGGATTATGACTTTGGGCGACCAAGTCATTAATAAGATTACACGTTTTAGATATCTTGGATCTATTGTTCAAAGTGATGGTGAAATAGATAGGGATATTATCAGCAGAATTCAAGTTGGATGGTTGAAGTGGAGGAATGCGTCGGGCTTGTTATGTGATAGAAATGTACCCCTCAAACTTAAGGGAAAATTCTATAAGATGGTAGTGAGGCCTGCAATGCTTTATGGTGTCGAATGCTGGCCATTAAAAGAGAAGCATAATACTAAGTTAAGTGTGACAGAGATGAGGATGCTCAGGTGGATGAGTGGCTTTACGCTTAGAGATAGGATAGGAAATGAGCATATACGTGAAAAGGTTGGAGTAGCTCCAGAGAAGATAAAATTAGAGAGAGTCACCTTAGATGGTTTGGTCACATAAAACGGCGGCCTTCCGATGACTCGGTTAGGAGAGTAGAGGTATTAAATTTGACTTATGTTAAGAAAGGTAGGGGTAGACCTAAAAGGATTTGGCTAGAAAATATTAGGAATGACCTTTCTTTATTAGATTTAAACGATATTTTGACTTTTAACAGGACACAATGGAGAAAAAGGATCCATGTAGTTGACCCCACGTAATGGGATAAAAGCTTGATGTTGTTGTTGTTGTTGTTGTTTCTTTTGAGACCTATATATAGAGGCCCCTTCTCTTGTATTAGGATGATGAAATTATAATAAAATTTTTGTTTTGCATTTGTGTTCTTTTGGGAGGACGTTAGTGAGATTCCTATGGGAAAGAATCTGAGTTTTCATCAACCGCAGAATGGGACTGGGCTCGTGGCTTGAGGTCCCTTGGAGAAGGGCAACGTATCACCTGTCAGGATTCGTAAGAGTCCAAGGCTCGTAACTTTGTCTTCTTTTTTTATTATTCTCCTTATTTTCCTAACCGCCACTTCCCCATCTCTCTTTCTCCTGTTGGCCGAAAACTCCACCCAAACCCTAGGCCAAAAGACACCCAACCGCCGGCCCAATCCCCTTCCCAAAGCCACCAGCCATCATCCATTCCTTGACTCCAAGATTCAAAATCAAGCATTCAAATCTTAATTTTGGAAACTATTTAAATTCATATTCAATTGAATTTGAATTTGAATTTTACTTTCTAAACGAGGAAAACTATTTTAGGTAAGTCCCTCAAATCATGCAATTTTGAATTTTAATTAGGAGTTGATTTAAATCCACTTTCATATTTTAAGATTCTAAATATAACCACTTTTAACCCCTCATATCAATCACCCATAATCATGCTAGCTGCCGGCCCTACCGCCTTCATATTTCCTCTTTGTTAAGAACAAAAATTCATCCACCCTCCACAACAATTTTTTAAAAAGATAAATTTGAGTATAATTTCAGCTCACAAAGAGCAAATGTCATGTAGGGTGTATCACCAAGATTTATTCTCAAATCATCTCTCGCTAATAAATATGTGGCACGTATACTCTAATAGGTTATTTTGCCGTCAAATTGTACCACAAGTAAACAATCATATGATCAGGGCCCTCTAACAGATGGTTTGTAGTCAAATGGTACCACTAAATTACAGACACGGTCACAGCCCGTATGCTTCTCAATGGCTATAAACCATTGAGTAATGAATCATAGGACATACTTAATAGGGCACAAAACCCTTTGTAAGAAAGATAGACTCAAAACATGTAGGCAAACATTCACCTCAAGTCTACAAGATACCATTAGACGATGCAAACAATGGCTGCCGACAATGATCATAAAGTCCTCTCAAAATGAGAGTGAAATATTTGGGTAATGTCTTATTTAAAATCTAATGTCTTCTGAAAATTTACCCCATAAACTAAACTTCAATAAAACTCTCATTGTTGACAAAAAAGGGCTCGAAGAGGCCAGGGCAGGGCACGAATTTTCAGAGTCTGCACTATCATTGCTTCAGCTTTAGACTTCAAATTTCCCCAACTTGCAGTGTAATTTCCATGCCATTCTGAATTCTCAATTTTACTAAAACACATAACAAGTCATAATTACTTCAGTTTATTATTATAGTTTGAAAAATAAACAGAATTTTAAATCCAACACCATAACTAACCTAACCATATATCCCATAATGTCTTCTTAAAAAATTAACACTAATTTGGACGATCCTAATGTTCTCGCCACAACTTTTCCATGAACAATATGATGCAGATCTAGCAAAACAAGCTCAGCTAGCTTTCATGTGATATATATAAATTAAAAAAAAATTAAAAAAAAAAGTGATATATATATATATATATATATATATATATAAAGGAATTCCTGTACAACTCTTTCTTGTGACAAAAGTTTAAGCATTGTTATAAAAAAGCTATTTAAAGAAGTAAACCGGAAAATTTTATGGTTTATTTTGAATAAATAAACTCAAAGATGCTCCACAATGTAAACTGAGTCAGAGAAATTAAATGTATGTTACTACGATAGCATAATGATAACACAATAATAAGGCTATAAAATACAAGTAACAGAAAAAATACTGAACACTGATGGAGTGCATCCAATTACCAAAGCTGCTTCCTAATATGCAGGTACGAGCAATTTAAGAACTTTTGATAAGAATACAAGGGAGAAAAGGCATAGTCAGATAGCATATATTTACACTGCTTACAATTGATAAGCATTCAATAATAATACAAAAAACTAACCACTTGATATTGCCTCTAGAGCCAACTGAGGACATATGAAGTGGATATGACAATCTATACCTCCCGCAGTTATAATCATGCCCTCTGCAGCAATAACTTCTGTATTCACCTGCAAAAATCTATGGAATTAATAAATATCCAACAAGGAAGCACATGTTAAACAGCTGAAAAGAGATGTACCCCGACAATCATACTTGAGTTTACACCATCCATAATATCAGGGTTCCCAGCCTTTCCAATATCAACTATAATACCTCCTTTGATGCCAATATCTGCTTTGTATATTCCAGTATAATCGATGATTACAGCATTTGTGATGACCATATCTAGACAGGAGGAAGATGGATAGCCTGAAGCTTGTCCCATCCCATCACGTAGAACTTTTCCACCACCAAATATACATTCATCACCATAAACGGCAAAGTCTCTTTCTATTTCTGCATACAACTCAGTGTCGCCAAGCCGTAACTTGTCGCCAGTAGTTGGTCCATACAGGTTTGCATAATTTTCACGTGATATTTCACTGGTGAAGACAGAATTATCTCCAGTGACGCCTTCACTGTAACAAAACGTTAGAGCACCTAGTACAAACTTAGTTTTTACATCTTAAAATCTTACACAAGTGGAAAATGAATGCCACGGTTAAGTGAGTCCAAGTAGAAACAAAGTATCTTAAATAATATCAAGGGTGATGGATAAATGCTAAAAGTGGATCACCATTCCGTTTCTTTGATTATTGACAGTTATTAGCGCAAATAAATCATAAAACATAACCGATAAACTTGCATTTTAAGAAACAAAACTTTGAAATGAACCTGGCATCAGGCTGATCTATATTTCCAAATCCCCGTGCTTTAATATCTTCCAAGACCATATCAAGCTGGACAATACCGAGTTGACCATCCGCAATTGCATTTCCACCTCTGATAACCTTCTTTCCACCAATGCTGACAAGATTAACAACCTTGGCATCACCTGGCTAGATATTAGATGTTAGGTAATCATTCTAAATCCTTAAAAGTACACTATTCCGTATGCATGTACTATCTCAGGAACTAGACAAGGTTTTACATGATTTTATAATCTGAATAATCATTTTATGTGGAGGGTTAGTGATGCAGGACTTAAATGCCTAAGCGATGTTAGAAACGAATCTTGCACAATTTAATTTAGAGAGCTTTATTAACTAAAATACTTGTAGTGATTAAACGATGAAATAAAACAAGAAAGATATGAGACTAGCTTAGGTCGAGTCACACAACTAGAAGTTAGAATCACAAAATAATAAATGATTCAAAACATAGCATACATGAAAGGTTTACAACAAGAAATCCCTACGTTAACAATGAGATTATTTGCTACAAAGAATCCCTCACTCACTCCTAAATTACTAGGCTTGGAGGAGACAGTTAATACGATCTTTAGGAGTCAACCAAAGCCACAATTAAAGATAACTTAGAAGATATGAGATCTGGGAGAAAGTATACCTTCGTCAAGATGTAGGAAAGGTTAATAGCAAAATACTGGAGTTTTTGAACTACATTCAAGTACTTTCCAGGTAGCGGAACAGCTATAGGAGTTTGTTGAAATTAGGGGACAGCAGCTTGAAACTTCTGGACAGCGATTTCCACATCCAGAAATCTGAACAGCAACAGTGTAGGCTTCCGAATAGCAACGGTGTAGGCTTCCGATCTTCAACGGGGTGGTTCTAGATCGAGAAGAACCAAGTAATTGACATAGGGAGGGTAGTTGGAGTGAAACTAATGTGAAAGAACAAAGATGAAGGAGAAAGAGAAAGAGATCTAAAGAGAAAGAGAAGGGATTAATTTCCCAAAAACTGAAGTTTTAAATTCAGATTAGATTGAGAGGGATTACGGGAGTTTGAATTTTGAATTTCAAGTAGGGAGGAAAAGGAAAATTATTTCTAAATGATAGATTTGATTGGGGTATCTAAAAGGAGGGGAGTTAATGTGGGGAGAGAGAGAGAGAGAGAGGGAGAGAGGCCGGCGACTTGGTGAGGTGGATTGGGGTTTAGGGAAAGGTGTTTTAATGCTTGCTCAATTAAAGACCCAAAATTAAGGGAAAGGATTTAAATCCCATTCAATTCAAAATTGATTTGGGCTTTGATTTGAGGAACTTACCTAAAATAAAGTTCTATTTTAGGAAATATTTCAAAATTCAAAATTGATTGAATAATTGAAATCAAAGCTTTCCAAATGAGATTGTGTCGGGAAAGGAAATTAATGATGGGAGGTTTGAGTTTTGGAGGCAAGCGGATTGGGATTGGGTGAAACCTGTAATACCCGAAGTGCTGCAAATCAATGTAAGCACAATTTTTTTTTTTTTTTTAACATTTCATATATATAAATAAGTAGAATAACTTATTATTATTTTCATTACAGAAAAAAAAATCTGGTTTTCATCTAATACAAAAACTTATTACTCTATTTCTACATGAACCACCATTTCATTATATCATTATGATTTCTGTATCCATTACGATTCCTGTACTCACAGCACTTATCTTAACATGCAATGGACCGAATATGATAGTGGAAAATCAACGGCTGAGAGGAATTTGAGAGGTGTTAGTGGAGTAAAATAAGAGTCTTAGTAGAACTGTCATTCTATGCATAATCCTTTATTCCCACGAAGCAGTTGCTGGTTTAGAGTTGCTGGCCATAGGAGAATGAGGGGCTGAAGGGAACGAGCATCAGTTTGAGGGAGCTTTGGCTTGAAGCGTGGATTTTTCATACTCAGAAATGGGTGCAGGATTGAGCAGCTTGAGTTGTTTGATGAGCGAGAACAATGGTATATGATGCAGGTAAGTCCAGAAACTGAGGGAAAGCCTTTGACACCACTAATCAGCTCACTCGCTACAGATTTCTTTTGTGTCTTTTGTAGTCATTCATAATGAAAGGACTTCAGGATTCTTGATGCTTTAGTGTTGTTTTGGCCTGTCACAACTGCACCAATTTTTGACTATGCACTGATTGAAAATACCTAGGATGGTATAATAAATGTTAATATATTAGCTGAATTCAGAATTTAGAATTCAGAAGGAAGGTTAAATTATTATAGTTGTTGTAATAAGGTGGAGGAGTTTTGCCGGAAAAAAAGGAAAATTTGGGTGGTTGTGAATAAGTAGCATATGAAGATAGTATACAAAAGGAAAGGGAAGCAGACTTTCGAAGAATCAATTCCAAGTAAGGTGAGGTACCCAACAATACATAGAAATAATAAAAAAGTTTAAACAGTTGCAAATGGATATTTATCTTGTTTTTAATAGCATTTCTTTTCCCCATGATAGCATGTATTTCAAATAGTTCAATTGCTTCATATGTGAATTACATGTAGTTGATTCCAATTTATATAATTGTTTGAAATGATTATGAAAATGTACCTAAAAGGAAGGAGAGTATAAATGCTATTAAGTCATATGTTGGGGGATAGGCCCGCATCAGTAAGGGCGAAAGACCTGACGAGGTAAGCCTATACTCTCTCCTTCTAAAAGTTGGGAATTTGGACCCAACCTAGAATAAGAGAGCAATTTTAATTCTAAAAATTGGAAATTTAGACCCAACCTTGAATTGAAAGACTAAAAAGGGTGCACAAGCTTATAGATATCATATGACTTGTTTGAAGCTGTTAATTAGACAGCAAAAAGGGAAAGCAATGCTACACATTTCTTACTATCAGTATGGAATTTCAACATATTCTAGTTATGTTATGAATTTCCAAATTGTTTAACAATGTTATTATTATTTCTTTTACGTTGTTGGTGTATTTCATTGAGTCTTACTCATTAGTAGAGGTTATACTGCAGGTAAGGGAAAGGAGCCCGTAGGGCACTAGGCGAGGAAGAAGTGACCGTCTAATTTTGGTGTAAATATGTTTTGGTGTACAAAGAGATCTTAGAGGAGATCTGAAGAGTAGCTGTATAAACTTTTTGATATGTAAGTAAAGTTCAAAAGTTTGAGTAGAGCTCTGTATTTGTTTTAATTCTGTTGATGTTCAGTAAAGTACATTATATACTTCCATTATGATGTTCGAAATTGATAGGTTGACATATTAGAAGAGCCTAATTAAATTTCTTTCCTTCTCTGTTATACTCAAATTTGTTTGTTAGAGATTAAGTCAAACTGGGGTGTGACAGCAATTGGTATAAGAGCCTAATCAAAATAAAATGGAAGCATGATTGGATTTAGACAATAAAGTAGGATGAGATAATGAATCTGTTGTATACAGAGCTATAGGTTGAATTAAGGGTGAATAGAACTATGAATGCATTCATGTTCAGGATAAACAAACCTGTATAATAGGCCTTTTTACTACTTTTAAAATGATTATATTTATTACTATGAGCATATATTACATGAATTATTTCTATGCATACAGATAATTATGTCTGAGGAGTTGCCAAAAAGAATGACTGGTCAGCCATCTAGGCCTGATACAGAAACAGGAAGGACTGAGGAAAATAAGTCTAAGGAACTTCACGATATTGTTCATTTGACCTCACAAGTGGAAGATAAAATGATATCTATGGAAAAATCTTCTATTAGTAGTGGATCCAGATCTGAAGGTGATAGTGAAGTGGATCGACATTTAAAATTATTCCAAACTTTTAAACCGCCAGCATTTAAAGGCGCAAGTGATCCAACAGTGGCTGATGACTGGTTGCTGAATATTGGAAAGATTTTAGATGGTATGCTATGTCCTGAAAATAGAAAGGTATCATTGGCTACATTTGTGCTAGAAGGAGAAGCAGAAAGATGGTGGCAAGCACAGCATAGAGAAAAATTTGGACAGATGCCTATTACTAGCATACAGTGGGATGATTTTGTGAAAGTTTTCAGAGATTGGTTCATTCCGCCTTCAGCCAGATTAGCTCTGCAAGACAAATTCTTCAATCTGACTCAGGGTTCTAAGACAGTTATGCAATATGAAGCTGAGTTTACATCTTTGTCCCGATATGCGCCACACTATGTCAGCACCCAGGAGGAGAAGTGTCACAGATTTTTGAGAGGCCTGAGGGATCAGCTACGACTTGCATTGGCGCCTTTTGATATCAATGAATTCTCAGTCTTAGTGGAGAGAGCCAGGAGAATAGAAAATGAGCTTAATTTTTCTAAGCATAGTCTGGAGCAACAACCAATAGGCAAAAGGAAGATATTCGAAAGGGATGATCGATTCAAAAATAAGAAGCCAAAGTTGGAGGATAAGAAAAAACAGAGTCAGCTTGAAAAGCCTTTGTGTAAGCAGTGTGGGAAGCGACATTTTGGTCAGTGTTTGGTGGGATCTGGC